GATAATGCATATGTGGTGGATCTGCCTGCAGATTTCAATATCAATCCCTCTTTTAACATTGAAGATCTAATATATTATAAGGGCCCAGAGTTTAACTCACCCAATCTGCTACATGCTGAGCAATGTGTGACCCCACCATGTGAGAACCCAAGCCTTCCTCCACTTCCAAATATTCCTAAATCACCTATTGCGGCCAAAGTTGACATGATTTTAAACGATGACAACATTTTCACAAAGGAGGGTGAACGAAGAAGATACTTAGTGAGGTGGAGAGGTAAACTGGAAAGAGGATACTTAGCTAGAGCGCGAGGAGCTCTAGAGGATTGACCCGGATGCACTAGAGATCTATGAGAGCACCCGGAATGCATACTCAATGGAGTCGAGCCCTTTTCCACCCTAGGAGAATGATGAGGACATCGGGCCGTGAAAAGTTTATCAGAGGAAGGGCTGGAGACCTACGGCTACAATCAGATTACTCTATTTCTAAGTATTTATTTGTATTTGATTTACTATGTGTAATTTTTTATTTTTACCTTCACTTCAGAAAATAGGTTTGTGTGACCCTAGGGGGCACTTTTTTCATTTGATGTTTTATTATATTTTATCTATTTATAGGCCTCACCTCCTCCTTGGAAGGATGATTATTATTATGAATGAAAATTTATGCGCTTTGTGTCTAGGTGTGTTTGAGAGCCTTGAGAGTTCTTGTGACAGCTTATGTGAAGTCCCTAGGTGAGGGAAAAGCAAGACCCATCAGCCACAGAAAGCGTCCGAGCTCACGATTTATCTTCGCCTCTACCCCCCCCCACCCCCACCACTCTTCATAGTCGTCGGCTACCTCCTTGTTCCCATGGCCGAAACCATCATGACCCCCTTTTCCCTTTCCACCCAAAATTTCTAATAGATCCTCTAACATTTTCCTAAATTAGCCCATCGTTAATTTTGGAAAAAATTGAAATTCAAATTTGAATTCTCCTTGAGTCTTGAATCCCTTTCCTAAATTGTTGGATCATTTTTTGAAAGGTATCCCCATCAATAAATATGAAATTTAAATAAAGAATCCTCATTAATTCTCCTTCTTAAATTAGCCGAGCTTCATTTGTGAAAATCTGAATCCAATATTTGAATTATCCTTGAGCCTTAAATTCCTTTCCTAAATTGTTGGATCATTTTTGGAAAAGTACCCCCATCCATAAATCTGAAATTTAACTGAAGAAACCTCATTAATTCTCCTTCCTAAATTAGCCTAGCTTAATTTGGAAACCTGAATTCAAATTTGAATACTCCTAAAAGCTTTGAATTCCTTACCTAAATTATTGGGCTATGTTTGGAAGGATATCCCCATCCGCAAATCTAACTATTGATTGGAAATACGAATTAAATCACATTTTCTTAGCCAATATGCTAAAATTGGCAACCCAATTAAAGCCCAAACTAGCCCCAATCAATTGATAGGCCCGACCCCCTCCCCTCATTGAGCCTTACCATAATTATACAAATCTTCTAGGCATAAATCTTAGACCCAGGTTTCTGCTATTTGCTGTCCGGCTGTTTCGGATGCCATCTAATGATGATTGTTGCTATTTTTCTACTGTTAATTGCTTTTTATTTCTCTCCCAAGCCATCCCAATGTCTGCTACCTGCTGGTGATATACACATTCATCCATTTTCCAAGTCAATTACCCCATGTTCCTGATTTTGGCAACCACACAGCAGCTATCTAAATTTCTAGGAACGAGATGATGCTGTCCAAGCGTGTGAAAGGGATTCGTAGTGCTGTCCTTCCCACCAAGATAGCCAAATGACTTCGCCGTGGCTTAGTATCTTCGTCTTTGTGGGTAAACTCTTCCCCCCTGCACCTTTTGACCGCTCAATCGTGGCATCGTTTTATTCTGAAAACTTATTTGCGTAGCCCATACCAAGTGTTTCGTGTGAGTGGGTCTTTGTAGTGACTAATCTGCTTGTTAATTTGGGGTTTGTTTCTGAAACATCACGTGAACATGATATTAATTTATTTGATTATCTATTGGTCCTCCTATTAGCTTTTGATTGATTGCTTAAACTTTATTACCCTCTTGCATGATGAAGTCATAGCTTAAGTTCATGTTGAATTAATAATTTGTTAAGCTCTGTTAAAGTACAGGGAATTTTCAATTCAATGTCATCTGCATATCTAGTTCTACATCAGATACATCCAAAGCTTTCTTCTTTACATTGAAATTTTATTGAAAGGTGGGGAGAGATAGGGAGGATGTCCCATGATTGTTTTCTTATTTAAAAATTAAAATTTGTATCATCCTTCATTGGAAAGAGAATAGATCCCAATAGTTGCATCATAATGATCAATATATTATTTGATTGGACACAATGGAGAAAAAGGATTTATGTAGCCAACCCCACATAGTGAGATAAAGGCTTGATGTTGTTGTTGTTGTAATATATTCTTTGATTGCTCCACCTTTAATTAAAGATGCTAATGGCACAACATTTTCTTATATGAAATAATATTTCTTTTCTAGATTGCATAAGGAATTTTAAGTTTGAATTCTTCCAACATTTAAGTGAAGATCATAATGATAATTAACTTCTATGACCATGATGGCAATATAATAATTTTCAAAGTAAGAAACTTTTTATTTTCTTACTTTTCATATATATTTATGATGATTGTATTCTTTTCAAAAAATAAATGATGTGGATAATGCGCATTATTGTTTTTTAAATTTGCATCAGGACGATCAACTCCTTGAAAAATAATGACTACCTAAAATATACTCCAAAATCTCATCAAACTGATACGTTTGATTCATGCCTATAAATATCCAATTTTTATCACAGACTTCTTTCTGCATCACACTTGTTCTTGTTCAATTATTTAAAAAAGATATCTTCTAATAAGTGGAATTAACTAAAAAATATCAATCAGATTGAGTATGAATTACATTTAGATACCTCAAACTTAGGCCCAACACCAATTGGGTACCTCATATTGTCATTTTTTACTACTGAATGCTTGTATTTGATTCCAACTTTGTTTAGGTCCCTATACCATAACCAAAGCATTACGAGATAAACAACCAACCTTATCATTAGGTCCTAGTACTGTTACTAACTTAGGCTTCGTTTGGGACGGCTTTCTTATTACTTCTTAAAACAACTTTTTAGTACAAAATAATAATTTTTGTAAGAAAAAGCTAATTTAAAAAGCAATAAGAAAGCCGTCCTAAACGAAGCCTTATTTTACCATTACCAACCTAATGCTACCACTGCTATCAACCAACCCACATCAAGGAATCCGACCATTTTATCATTGGGTCCTAGTACCATTTAGCTTTTTCTTATTCAGCTTAATTTAATAGTGTTGTGGAAAGTTATAACAGATAACATGATTCATATTCTTCTAAGAAAAGGAATAATTTCTACAATTGAATTTCTAGTAACCATAAAACTACAGAGGTTTGGTCACATAGAAATTAAGATCTGTCAAGATACGTTTATCACAAATCAAATTTATGATCTGAAAAGAAAAATACAGAAGCAATGCATTAGCAACTGAAGCCCTAATCTTTCAAAAGAAGTTAATACGCAAAACAACCAGAAACAATCTCAAGCTTGGTGAACTCTGTAAGAAACGCCCATATGACACTTAGCACAGAACACAATCTCTCATCAACATCTTCATCATTTCATTGCCCCATCTTTATGGTAGGGCTATCCATGTTTTCATCGTTATCACAAGTAGGAGAATTCTATTTGGACTTAATCCATCCAGCTCTTTAAGGGCAAATATGTCAAAAAATCAAACGCGCGTGGCTGAAAATATATGCATTAATGACAGTCCAACTCTTCATCAACAACTTCAAAGTTCATTACAAAGTTAGGAAATTCTGCCATTGTTATATCCCTGAAAGCAGGCTTTGCACAAATAAGTAATTAAGTGGTGGGGGAAATTTTCTTCTCATAAATAAAACAAGAAAGATCAAATGGTTAGATTGTCTCCATTATAAATATCAATAGTCTGATGAACTGACAAGTTTGTTGCTATTCTGACAAGTTTGTTGCATGAAATAGCAACTCATAAAAACTCAGTCAATTCGAATGATGGCAATTTTGAGTAGTTCTATAATTTTTCCAACCCAAATATTAGGATATAAAACTTTGATGATAAAATGTTTAACGCTACAAAGCTGCAGCACTTGCTTAGCCTCCCAAAATAAAAAATAAAAAAGAACAGGAATATATTACCATATGGGCCCTGCTCATGAACATAAAACATTTTAGCATGTAGAACTAATGAAATATTATTTATTATTTGTTAGCTTTGTGTGGTGACACAATCGGGTTTTAATGTTGACTCAGACTGCAATTCCATCGATTGAACTCGGCGAGGAGGTCATTCAAGGGTTGCCTGGGGGCAACGCGCCCCCTGCTCAAGGGGCGAAGCTCCCAAAAAAAAATTCTTATCCATGCAGTGCCACAGCACTATAAATCCAGCGTTAAGGCACTATGGAACCCTTCTAAGACAAAAAGAACTGTGCCACAACACTGCATCACTGTGAACTCAGTGCCGCATAAATGTAGTTCACAACGCCTCAGGGGCTGCAAGTACAACGTCGCAGTGCTACGAGACAAACTGAGCTGTATTTCTTATTTCAATTGAAGGGTTGCATCATTTGGTGTATTGTAATGCGTCTCATCCTCTTTTCTAAGAAAAGAATTTTGTGAAAAGTGAAGAGAGACAATGAGAGAGTGTGAGAAGAGTTATATATACAATTGCTCCCATTTCATAGTGAATTTCTTAGTGTGCTATAGCTCCATGGTTTTTTTCCCCATTTCTGATTTTTTCACGTTAAATCCTAGTATTCTTCTATGCTATCTTGTTTTTATTATTTATTTTATTGTGTGGTTTATTTCTCAGCAGCATTTATTCCTGTATAAAATTTGATATTAAAAAAAAAAAAACTGACTCGAAACTTCTGAACTACATATATGCAGCTTACATCAAATATGGAAGAGTCATATTCTTGAGCAAAGATGGATTTTTCTTTACAAACTCCTTCCATTCCGTGGGATCTATTTTTCCATCACAGTTCAAATCTGCTTGCTTGAATGTCTGTCAAAAGAAAAAAAGAATATCAGAACCTTTATAAGGATGCAAATGATTGTAAAAATCATCAAAGCATGGTAATAAAAAGCAGCTGAAAAAAAATACAAAGATTCTTCCCAACCTGATCAACAATTGTTTCAACAACATCATCTGTAAGAAACAAATCTGACTCGTTTAAAAGAGCAAGCACCATTTCCTTTAACTGTGAAAGTAATAAAATGAAGAGATCAATCTTCTTGAATGATCAAATAATCAGAAATTCAAAGAAGTATGTTAATTCTTAACAAACCAAAGAATAAAATCAAGTTTAATTAAATAAAGATAAAAATAAAAAAATAAAAAAAAATTAATTGAATAAAGTCAAGTTAAAAAGATATTTGTTAAATTTTATTATGCATCTTTAGTATGAGCTCTAGTGACCACTAATTTCGTAACTACAGGAAGTATTATAAGAGTTTAAGAATGCATAATAAATGGAGAAATTAAGGACATAAACATTAATGCCGATCTATCATAAATTTTATCTAGATATTTCGAAGAAGTGCTCAGCTTAAAAATAGCACATCTCTGACTTGAAGATTGTATTAGAATAATTAGTCATATGTGAGATGATAAAACATCAAGATATGGCATAAATGATAAGATAACAGGGTTGTGATTACAAACAAAATCTCCAAGCATGAACGCACGACTGAATGATATAAATAGTAACGAAAAGTTAATAGCTCAAAGATGGGAAGAAAATACAAACAATATAACCTTATAACCAGAAGAATTCCATAAAAGATATTCCAACGCTTTAACTTTTCTAAATTGGCTCCAACATATTAAGGCAAAATACTTGTGCTTGTCCAAGTATTCATGAGAATTTTCTTCTACTACATGGCGTTAGATGAAAAATATCAATTAAATCAAGGAAAAATTACGTTTAGATGGCTCAAATTTAAGCTTTATGTCAATTAGGTCCCTCATATTGTCATTTTTCACCACCAGGTGACTCAATTTTGATCCCAACCTTGTTAAGGTCCTTACACTGTAACCAAAGCATTACTGGATAAATAGCCAACCTTCATTGGTTCATTGTAACATTATGATATGTCAAGGCGGCCCACAGCCGGTAAGAGGAAGCTGTTTTGGAAAGTTCCTAATTAATAGGGAGTTGTTTAGGTAGGTTCCTAATCAAGGGTGAGCTATTAATATAAGAAGGTTCCTAATCAAAGAGGAGTTGTTTAGGAAGGTTCCTAATTAAGGGAAAATTATTTAGGAAGGTTCCTAATCAAGGGGGAGATATTTAGGAATTCCTAATTAAGGGGAGCTATCTAGAAAGATTCCTAATCAAGAGAGTGTTGTTTAGGAAGGTTCCTAATCAAGAGGGAACTGTTTAGGAAGGTTCCTAATCAAGTGGGAGCTATTTAGGAAGATTCTTAATCAAAAGGAAGATATTTAGGAAGATTCTTAATCAAAAGGAAGATATTTAGGAAGGTTCCTAATTAAGTGGGGATTGTTTAGGAAGGTTCTTAATCAAGAGAGAGCTATTTAGGAAGGTTCCTAATCAAGGGAAAGCTTTTATGAATGTTTCCTAATTGTGTTTATGTTCTTTATGAAGGGTTTAATTATTTAGGAATGTTTTATAATTATGTTTATGATATTTAGAAAGGTTTTAATAGTTTAGGAAAGATTCCTAATTATATTTATACTATTTATGAATGTTTTAATTGTGTATATTGTGTGCTTGGGATATTTAAGGGGGAGCTTGGTCTAGGGTTTGGAACTTATATTTTGTTGAAGTTTATTCTAGGACTTGTTATGAGTGTCCTAGCGGCGTGTAGGATTTGTGGGAGAGCTGATCTACCACTCAAATAGTATATCACTTGTATATTTCATTATTATTGAAAAGATAATCCAAAAATCAACTCTAAAATTTGATTCCTGCAATTTTCTTCTTCTCTACGTTGTTGTTTTTACTTCCAAGACGCATCACATTACCAACCTACTATACCATTGCCAACCTAAAGCTATCAATGCTATTAGCCATCCCACATTAGGACAAGTGGCAGCTAGTGGTTGGCAGCAACAACAACTAGCATTCAACAATGCCAGCAAGGGGGCATTTGTAACAATGTCAAATAAAAATGTTGTGATGGAACCAAATGATGAGGGCATTTTGGTCATTTATCTATCAACTAGTGGTATTGTAACAACTGCACAAAAAATCAAAATCAAATTCATGAAACCCAACAATGAAAAAGTAGGGCTGCTAATTATGTTTAAAACTCGCTTGATAGTCATTTGAATATGCTACAATTCAAAGATGGCATGTTTAAAAATAAGTATGATGCAACATGAAATTGACTCTAAATATGATATATGCACACATTTATGTGAATTGATATGTTCAAATAAGTTTAATTCAACTTATCATGCTTATTAGAAAAAGCTCATTTATGTGGAATTCAGAGGCTCAATAATCAAAGTTAATGAATTCAAAGGCTTCATTCGTTTCTACCAAATATTTTCTTAAGAGTTCAGCTTATTCTTCACAAATTATTTTGAACAACTTTTATCAATGTGATCTTAAATCTAACCCCTCTCCTTCCACATCCTCAACAATAATTTTATCTACTTGTCTAATAAGTGCATGTTCTACCCTTCATTTTGATAATGTCCATATAACTAAGCCTATTTTTAATTATCATATCTTCAGTTGATATAACGCAAACAATTTCTCTGATACACTCATTTCTTAATTTATTCTATCTAATTTTATCACACATACATTTTAATATTATTATTTGTGTCACACTCAACTTAGATATCAATAAAATTTTTTATGCTAAATATTTGAATATAAAAATAAACCATGACAAAGTAGTTAACATAATCAAGAAAATGGTGATCGACCAACTTACCTCTTCTCTTTCAATATAACCAGTGTTTTTTAAGTCATATATTTTGAAAGCAACTGCATATAAAACAAATCACAACATTATAAGCAAGAATTAGACAATAAATGAAAATAAATCTAAAAGCAAAATAACTTAAAATGTGTTGGAAGAGCATCGTATATATGAAATTCAGATGCTTAAGAATCAAAGCAGAAAAGCATCTGAATTTAGAGCTTCGTTATGTTAAGAAATATTATTAGTAAAATGCCCTGCTATTTCCACCTAACATAATAAGTTGCGTTAGCAGCAGAAAAACATATTATCATGATCACACAAGTTGAAATATGAAGTATAACACTTAATACATGTTATTTTTTCATCTTGTGATGTATAGGGATGGAATATGCTGAGAGATCTAACAAACTCCCCAAACTCGATGACACCATTTCCTTTGATATCAAACAAGTCAAAAATCTGCAAAAAAATAAGACATTAATTGATTAAAAACAATTTGAAATCTTCCAGGATTACAACGGATAAGTATTTTTTTTAAAACTAAATCAGAATATAAATCAAACTTTCAAAACACATCAACCTTAAAGTTTAGTTATTATGTGTGTACGTTGTGCAAGAGGCTCCCACTGTTGCCAGCCTAGGGAAGGTTCATATAAACAGCCTAATCAATGATGGAGTGGCTATTTCAAAGTTCTAATTAGCCACGCCAGTACTCAACAATTATAATTTGGCAGCATGAGTAATAGTAACAGATGAAAACTCTTTTTTGTTTCAATAGAATTTCGAGATATGTAGCATCAAGCAGATGCTGATTAAAATGAATAGTAGCCCCCTATGATACAATCTTTTATCACGCTTTGAACAATTAGCTTCAAGAATATGTTAGTATCTAATTTAGAAATTGCATCAAGAAGTCATCTTTCTGGATCATTGGGGATTCAAAGTAGTTCAACCCAATAGGTACTGGGAGTAGAATAACACCACATAATATTCAAATTTTCCCTGGAAGCATCATATATGTGTATCTATAGGCGTAAGTTCTTACTCGTACATGCAATGCCCATAAACAACATAAACTAAATAATGATCACTGGAGCCCATAAAACCAATCAAAAGGCAAGGTAACTGTCAATACTATTTCTATTTTCTTTAATAGGCACTTGAGATATCACTACTGGATCAGTAAAAAAACAATATTTTCATTGGCCTCCAAAGAAAAATCGCAATGAAGAATGTAACAATATTTTTCTTGGCCTCCAAATGCTCTTTTCAGTATCTAGTCACCTTCTTCTTGACTTAAATCTTTGTTCTTATAATACTTGTCAGCAATCATCCCTAGCACCCTAGGCAAGAAGGATAAAAATTTTTCTAAGAGAGAAGCAGGGGATCCAATGTGGGCATATCTCTGCGGTCTCCAGATTATGTGTTCTAAAGTTATGCACCTCATTTATTAAGCTAGGCATTCCAAATCTAGTATCATTTAGCAAACAGAAACATTGGATTTACACTTCGATAGAGAGAAACAAAAAACAGATTGTAATCAAGAAGAAACACACCCAACGGCCAAGTCCAATATCAAGAGTCAAATGAGTGGCTTTATCTTGCCGCTGTCAACATGTAAAAGTCATATACATTAAATTTAAGACAAAATCCATCAAATGTATCTGAGTCAATTAATGTCTGATTCCAAAATAACACTAATACTGAGAAACTTCTATCAAATATGCACAATTAAGATCCTTCACTAGTTATAATGGGAAAAAAAAGGCAGATAAGGAGTGAGCAAGGAACAAACCCTGTCTGCGAAAAAATTGCGCTTGTTACTGTCATTGAAGAGAACAAACTGGAATTCTTCCTGCATGCAAAAGAACTGATGTCATAAACAACATAGTACCATTGCCAAAGATGAAGCATCTTATCAACTTGCTCGAAGAAATAAGTACCCTGTGAATAAACCCATCATTGAATATTAAGTGGCTTATTTTTTCGAACAATTCATACAGTGACTCCACTTCTTGGATAGTGACTGCATGTGCATGGTGAGCTTGTAAGGTCATCAGTAAGAACTAAGAATCATACAATTAGGTAATTATGTGCAATGTTCAAACCATACCTATTCACAAAAATAACACGTAAGTTGCTTATATTTACAATAAGACTAAACTGTGAACTTTTCACTCTCAATTATTTGTTAAATTTTTAAGAGATTTTGTTTCATCATATAGAAATGCACAAGTCCGCGAATTCAATTTAAATATGTAAGTGTTAGTTTTTGTAAATAAGAAATGAAAATTTTCCTTTAAAATTGTTTGCAGTGAGCATGTCTACAAAGTTTCCGGAACAAGTATGAATCGATGAACTGCTTTGCCGCGAATTGCTATATAATATGAATGTTTTCATATTTGAAATGAGATCATCCATCATGGATGGAAACCATCTCCCTGCCAATATCTCCTATATGGGGAATTAATCCACTAAATTGTACAAGAATGTTATACTTATAAAATTAGAGTTCTTGGAAGACCATGAAGATCACCAATGAAAAAAGATAATCAACACTCAAGTTTTGGCTTTCAGGAAAGCAATTAAACAGTTTTAATGCTTGAGCCTTGAATTCCTTTCCTAAATTGTTGGTTCATTTTTGGAAAGGTACCCCCATGCATAAATCTGAAATTTCATTGAAGAATCCTCATTAATTCACCTTCCTAAATTAGCCTAGCTTAATTTTGAAAACCTAAATTCAAATTTGAATTATCCTAAAACCTTTGAATTAATTATCTAAATTATTGGGCTATGTTTGGAAGGATATCCTCATCCGCATATCTAATTATTGATTGGAAATATGAATTAAATCCTATTTCCTTAGCCAATAGGCTGAAATTGGCAACCCAATTAAAGCCCAAACCAGCCCCAATCAATTGATTGGGCAAACCCCCTCCCCTCATTGAGCCTTACTATAATTATACAAATCTTCTAAATATAAATCTTTGACCCAGGTTTCTGATATTTACTGTCTGGCTATTTTGAATGCCAACTAATGATGATTGCTGCTATTTTTCTACTGACAATTGCTTGTTATTTCTCTCCCAAGCCATTCCAAGTTCTGCTACCTGCTGGTGATACACAAATTCAGCCATTTTCCAAGTCCAGTACCCGTTGTTCCTGATTTCGGCAACCACACAGCTGCTGTCCAAATTTATAGGGATGACAGAGTGTTGTCCAAGCGTGTTAAAGGGATTCGTAGTGTTTTCCTTCTCATTGAGACACTAGTCAAATGACTCCGTCGTGGCTTAGTATCTATGTCT